TGTATACCTGTTATACATAGATGTAAATATTTAATGACCTAGCAACCTTCATTAAAAAATGCATTGGATAAGAAAACATATCTTTAACCATAATTGTGTCTGTAAACAATGATTTCAAGTTCCTTAAAAGACACTTATTACAGCTCTTGTAACAAATTAAACAGTAAAATACAATGGTTCACCCAGAAAAGCTCAAACTAAATTATTTTCCAAAAGCAAAAACAATACAAAAATGACAATATTAATGTTTTGTTTCCCGCTTTTTAATTAGGCATCTTCTGGATTCATATTTCAAGTGTTTTATTTTATGGATAAATTAATGTCAGATAAAACACACTCACACACAAATACCACACACGCTTTTCCCAAAGGTTGCATTGTTTGTAAAAGTTGAGTTGTTTGGCCACCAAAGAAGCCACTTTGGGACTTTCAGTGGAACGTTGGAGGAAATCGGACTTCCGATACAGAAAAGACTATAGCAGAACTTTTCCTCAGCTCTTTTCTCTGATTCCTAATAGAAGAATTCAAATTTTTTTACCCTTTTCTGCTACTAGTTTATAAAAAAAGATTTAAATTTTTTTATTAAAAAACCCCTAAGTGATCTGGCAAAGAAACTTAAGAGCAGATAGAGCTCTTAGTAGAGCAGTTGAAGAGCACAAGTGAAAGAAATGCTGAGTCTTGAAGGTCCAAAGGCATCCTAGTTCCTCGTCCATCCCTTCAGTCCGCTCTCCTCCGTCCTTCACATGACGTCAGCGCGTTTGTCCCTGACTTTATTCCTCAGTTTAGTTCTGGCTTTGAAGGCAGCGGAGTTGTATAAATGCTGTTGGATGTAAAAGTAAGGAAATAATTTCTGTCAGAATAACTGGATTTAGTCACCAAAAAGATAACGTTTTCAAAACAACAGCAGTCCAATATCACGAACCTAATCACTTTCCTACTAAACTTCCTTTAAAGGTCTAATCAAGTCTTGAAAAACAGCTTTTGTAACAGAATCATAACCTGTAAGAAAAGTTATGTTTAAAATAAATAATAAAGCCCCTTGCTGAGAAGAGCAGCGTACTTTCAATAAAAAAAGTTGATAGAAAGGAGAAAAATGTTCAAAGATGCCCCAGAAATATTATTACTCAGCTAAAACGATGTCAAAGCTCTAACAGGAAAGGGATTGAAATGGATAACCAAAATATCAAAGATCTGGCCAATCAGAAGCTCCCTAGTGACCGAAAAAGGTCCATGATTACTTTTGAGCTCTGTGGCAACCAGAAGGCACAGCGATCAGTAGGAAAAATCCCACCTCAAACACATTGTATGCCGAAAGAAAACTGGAGCAATATTTGATGGACTTAAAGTTAAATTATTCTCTTTTTAGGGTCTAGCAGCTGCAGTTTATCAGACGACCTCCAAACCACAGTGCACAGCCAAGCAAGCTGGCTCAGGTGTCATGGTATGGGGATGTTTGTCATACTGTGGTGTCTGTTCAAGGGCTATTTACTTACTCTGCAAGAACATTCAGCTGGATGGAAATAGAAGCTATATGCAGTGGTGTCAGCGCTTCTTTAGGACACACTGCTTTAATCAACACAACTTTTTATGCTTTTAAGATTGGAAAGTAAACTACTTAAAGAAAAGAAACTGTGTGTTACCTTCTCTACCCGTGAGATCTTGTTGCCTTTGATAGTAGCAGCATCTAAGATGAGGGGGGGTCCGAGGCCAAAGATGTCTCGGAGGAGCTGGTTGAACTAAAGAGAGATAAATACAGAGCTTAGTTGAGTGCAAACCGGTGGCATTTCCAACTCAACAAATCCACACAGCAAAGGAAAAGACTTAAAATGTTCAAAACATGTTTAAGAAGTACATAAAATTACATGAATCTGTTTGTTTTGGATGTTTTAGGGCAGTTTCATCACAAAAGACTGCTATTTTTTTTATAATTTTCATTCTATCAGCTTGAATCGTTTAAAGACCTTAAATGTTTAAATATGTAATGTTTATAAGATTTAGATCAATTTAAGGGAACATTATCACCAGAATAGATTTACCGAACCACCCATAAATGGTATTCAACAGTAAACCTAATATCCATCAACATAGATCTGTAAACATGCCATCTTCTAAATAACCGAAATGATAGATTCCATTCAGAGTGATTTATTTTTGTGTTTAGGAAAAAAATAAAAGTCTACTAACAAGCATACATCAATGACCTGACATCCCCTCTCCTCCACAAGCTACCACACCTGTAGATGGTGCCTGACTCCAGACTCCAGGATCTCCTTGAAGGCGTCGTAGATTCTTTTCCTCATCCAGCCATCGATGTAAACGCTCTCCACCCCAAATCTGATCTTCTCCTCTGTGAAATCCTCGCTCTGTGGAGCAAAAACAGCCCATCAGAAACTAAACAGACAGAAGGAGAGTAAGAAGAACCAGCTGCTACAGGAAACCAACCAAATCAAAGCCTCCAAGGTGAAAATCAGAGACAAACCTCTATGTAATGCAGCACCTCTCTGAAGATAGACCGCTGTTTCCTTCTGTCGTTTTTGGCTCGGTGTTTGTTGCCGTCCGTGGCTAAACTCTTCAGACATTCGCACAGACTCTCACTGTCCTCCACCTCAAACTCCTACAGACACAGTCAGAAGAGCTGAAGCAATCACATTTACAGTACCCTGTTCATCAGGCAATGTGCCTAGCGTCCACTTGAAGGAATAAATATGAATAACTTATAATGTTTAAATATGATCTCCAGCAAAACATTTAAAGGAAATTTTGCATTCATGTTTTTTTATAATAAACATGATTTACTACATTAACCAAACGCTGAAGCTGTACTGTACTGTACTGTTAAGTACAGCTTTTAATTAGATTTTTTAAACTCTGCTTTAAACTGTCTGCTGTGTCCCTTGATCATGATGCTCTTTGTTCACTAATGTCTGTCTTAAAATACAAAAAACAGCAATACAAACAGTGTTGGAAGTTTGAAAACCTTCTGTAAACAATCTGAATATGGACAAAGGTTCAACAATCGAAATTTCCATTTTTTGTCTAGTTTTACCATCTCCTGTCACACAGCAAGGATTCCTGCAGGTTTACCTCGTCTATGTCTCGTCCCAACTCCACCAGCAGAGCAATCGTCTCCCCCACTGCGATTCTGTAGTTGACATCACTGCTCTGAAGACAGGCCTGCAGCTTAGGAAGGTGCCTACAAACAGCACAACAAATACAGAGGCAGTGTTAACAGTCACTCCCTACTAATAACTCTCTGCATGAACTTCAGAGTCCAATGCATAAAACTAAAACACGTGTCATCAAAGGAAAATTTTGAGATCTCTGCTCAAGATACCAAGTTGAGATAATCAAGTCCTTAGCAGGATTTTGTAGTTCTTGATAATTATATAAAAGCTGCAGGTCTACAGTTGTTAAATGCTGGAGTTTGAAACAAAAGACCAGAACAAGGAAGTTGAGACACAACCTGACATCTCACTAGCATATCCAGCTAAACAGACTCATGCATTTACTGAATGTCATTTAGCTCAAGTTTCCAGGTGAAAATCTGTTCTTTCATTGAAATAAGACGAACTTTCAGGTTTTGAAGTAAAAGAAAAGCAAAAGATGAGATCTTTGTCACACATTGACTTCCTTTGCACATGTTACCAGATGGTGAAAAGTGGTTTTAAAGCATTTATCCACACTACAATCAAGAATATATAAAATCCATAAATGATGATGATTTCCTTTTAGTGAACATTAATAAATTCATATCTTTTAAATGGAAATTAAAGGCTGGAGTTCATGTTATTTCATGTTTATTTGTTACCAAAATGTTCGTATTACTTCTTATAAGGTGATCTATATCTTTGTTTCCACTCACATTTCCAGCAGCTCAGTCAGTTTGGAAGCGGGACAGAGGGTAACCAACAGCGACCAGGCCTGCAGCGCTGCGGCGTGGAGCCCAGGCATGCCTGGTTTGGGTGTAGGCAGCGTTCCTTCTCTATTAGGGTAGGAGGTTATGAAAACGCTTTCCAGAAGAGCCAATGACTTGACCAAGTCCTGCAACAATTTAGATCAAAATCAAAACACAGAACCCAACAAAATGTGAACCCATAATGAACTGCTGTATTTTATTTTTTTTATGTAAAGTAGTTGTGTAAAGGTTCCAGAAGGAACAAAAATAAAATCTCACCTCCCCTTCTTCAGCAGTGGAAACATAGCAGCACATCCCTAAAGCCCTGGCACACTGATGAGATAATGGGGAAAAAATGAAAAAATAGGAAAAAAATAATAAAACAGAAAAATAACATTAAAACATGTTTTAGGTAGGGTTTAAAGGTAGAGCTGCTTATCGTAGTTTAGGTTCTACTCTAACAAACTACGTTTGTTTGCTTCCCTAAACAGTAACTTTAAACATAAATATCTATACTGCTTCTCCATCTAAAACTTAAAAAAAAAGCAATCATCCTAAAAAAATAAAGCTGCCTGTAAAATTACATTTATCTGACTTAAGTGTAAATAGAAACAATATTGACTGGATGAATTGTGCCTTTCCTATAGAAAGAGGATATTACTCACACTTTGACGTGCTGCTATACTGGCACTGCCGTCATTCAGGATGGAGGTGAGAATAGGACGAAGAGACTTGAAGCCCTCTTCAGCCTCATCTCCTCCCCCCAGCTGGATACACAGCAGGGTGAAAACGGTAGCAGCCACTGCCTGTTCCTCTCCACTGCCTGCAGACATGAAGAAGAAACGCTGCAGCTTTACCCTTTGGATAAACACTAAAGTTACATCAAACAAGAGCGGACAATGATTTAACCAGGTGGTCAGAAACTAAAACAAAATGAATTATGACACACAATTTAAAATCAGCCAGCTCTGTTGCTTTCAGTACCTTTCTTTAAACTTCTTTCCAGGCAGTCGCGCACAGTGAGACGCTGACCTGTCAGGAAGTCGTATAAAACTCTGGAGGAGAAAGCTTGTCTTAGTGACTCTAGAGCCGCTAGACGGGTCTTTGCACTGGAAAAGAAAAAAATAACAGAAACATTAAAAAAAAAAAGAGAGAGAATAAGACTGAAAAACAGAATCAAATTAATGCTGCCTGGTTGAAGGGATACAGGATGATTCATTAGGGCATTCACCAAAAGTTGAATGGTCCACCTAATTAGGCTGAGTCAACACAACTCGAAAGCTGCGATATTGCACATGCAACGATAATTTGATAAGATAGGAGCATATAAAACATAAAGCTAGAAAAAAAAAAAAAAATCGAACTAGCTGGTTAGGCTCCAAACAAGAAGCTAAGCTGAGGTTTAGTACCCCTTTAAAAAAAAAAAAAAATTATAATGATAAATATTTTTAAAAACCACAGATTAAGATGTATATATGCATAAATTTGCATACATTTTTGGAGAGAATGAAAAATAAAGTTTAGTTTTAGGACTTAAATATAGTAAATATATTTATAGCGATATTTAAGGAAATATGCATCACACAAATGTTCCAAACAATACCTAAATCAGGTTATAGGAGGATAGAAAATACAGATTTATACACTGATAATGCTTATCTCTTGACCAAAGCATTAATTATAAACTATATAATCCCATTTATATATAAGCCCCCTGGAAAACGTCCACCAATCTTTAAGCTTAAGCCACACAGCAGCCCGTATACTCTTGAGTTTAACTGTTATTTTTTTTCACCAAGGTAATCTGCCAAATTAAAGCTTCGTTTGAGCTTAAAGGCACACTATGCAACATTTTTCAGTTAATTAATGTGTTCCATATCGTTTTGGATGATTAAATGAGTCATTTCAGGTTGAACAAAGGTATTCTCGGCCGCCCTGGTGGTCTGTGGGGGAAATACCGCACTTGCAATTGCAGGAGCACCGACCCGCACCCACAGGCTCAGAAGTCTCACGAGAGTCAGTCTTGCTTTACGGCGAGAACTGCTACACGCCCCCAGTTAAAAGCATTCTCGTTGCTAGCACAGTGGCGATCTTTGTGCAGTTATGCTACGTTCACGCAGCAAAAGCAGCAAAATCGCATCTGCTGCTTCATTTTTGCTGCTTGTACCAGTTAGTTCTGACCCGCGGCTGAAGCAGCTTTGCTGCTCTGGCTGCGTGGTGCAAAAGTGTGTCTGACGCGCGTTGGGCGGAGCTTCACTATCCTTTCTCTGCCTTGCAGCTATATTTGCTGTGATCAGTGGGAATAAAGTAGTTTTAATATGTGTTTAAGTGAGAAAATACACCTGAAAACGTAATCAGTGCTGTCATTTCATTCAGATTATTATCCTGCCTTCAATATTTTTTCTGTCGGAGCCGCTCAGACCCCCACATACCAGCGGTGCACCTAGGAATCCCTTCATCAGCAGCCTCTGGCCGGGTCGCCTCCTCGCGGTTCACCACTGCACCTGGTAGGTGTTTTTCATCTAAATAATCCAAACTGCATATTCTGCCGGCAGATTTCTGCATTTTAAGTTAATTTAGGCGTCAATAAACTGTTTAAGAGGAGTGATCATAGCCTCTGATCATCAGCGCTGTGTCTCTCTCCCTGCGTCAGATGATTAAACGCGCCTGACGCGCTGCTTCAGCTGCTCAGACGTGCTGCGCCTGCTGCTCAAAACGCACCGCAGGACCTTTTGCTGCGCCTTGACGCACGTCAACCATTGACTTTGCATGTAAACTTGCTGCTTCTGTCGCTCCAGCTGCGGTGTGAACGCAGCATTAGTCATTGGTTGCGTTCGCCTGTCTGCTAAGCTCAAAACAACCGCGCCTGGCTTGACGGAGAAACCAGGAGAACAGCTGTGCATATTTACGACAGTGCACTTTTACTTTCGCCCTCTGGGGGGAGCCTCGCTGGAAAATCAACACCGGTTGCATAGTGTCCTTTTAAATTTCTCTGACATGATGACTCAGCATAGATTCCTGTTTAACATCAATTCCAAAAAAGTTTTCCTAAACTTATCAAAAAAAAACAACAACTCTAGTTTAAGTAGTTTAAGCCCTACTAAACCATTGTGCCCTCATTATTGTTTCTGCTGTAGGACAGCCATGTTTACCTTTTGTCCATTAGGTTGTCTATACACTGCTTGAGTTTGTCTTCAGTTTCCTCTTGTGCAGTCTGCTCATCTATCTGTTCACCTGTAACCAAAAAACACTTATCAGAGGTGTGTTCATTAAAATATAGCCATGTGAAAAAATTAAGACATCATATTAAATATTCAAAAAAACCTAAAAAGTTACTTTTTTGGAAGTTAAATAAACCTGCTTTGTGTGTTCTATAATATGTGTGAGCAGACCTGAGCCCTCCTCCAGCACTGAAGCAGTTTCACTCGTACTACTGTAGTGGCTGAGAACATCAGAAGTCATCTCATCGTCGCTGGCGCCAGACTCGACTTTCATCCCATTTTTAACACCTGAAGACAAAAAAATAAAGGGTGCACAAAGTGAAACTCCTGGATGAGTAAGAGGGAGAACAGACTGAGATCGCTTTGGTGGCAAGTTAGAGGAAAGAAAGCTGAAAATCTGAAAGGAGCAAACAGTGACTGGTCATTACTGATCTATTAAATGGAAACTAAAAAAAAGAAAAAAAGATGCTGCTATCGGCCCACACTGCTACAAACACTCTTTGGAGCCGAAGTTGTAACAGAGAGTGAATGTTTACATTATTGAGTTATTGAGCTGAAATCAGAGGAAGGGCAGCAGCATCTAGGGTTAGAGGAAACTGTTTTCTAGAACATGTCGACGGATCATTTAGGCCACTGCGTTTTAAGGTGGAGGAGAATTCAGCAGCAAACCTTCTACAGAGCAATGAGAGTCATCAAGTAAAGCTGTTTTCACTGTCACATTCACCACAGAAACAGATTTTGGGGTTCGTGATCAGGACATAATTATAGATAAAGCCAAGAGGCAGAAGCTCACAACAGGTTAAGCTTTTATTAGCATGAGGAGGTTTTGTTTCAGCATAGCTCTGCCATGCATGGTGCAGGAAGAAGAGGCAGGCGGGTTAAGCTAAGCTATGCTAACTCTCAGTGTTCCTGCTGGATAAGGACTTTCTACTGTTGGTGGGATTAGTGGAGAACAGAGGGGCCGTTCATTGGGTCCCTCTGTTGGTGTTTAAGCATCAGACCGATCATTCTGTGATTGTGTTCATGCTGAAGTCAAACTGTATGGTGAAAGTGACCCGGAGGTTACTCATCCTGCAGGAATATTAAACAGCTCTGTTTTCAATACCAAATTATTTGATTTTAGACAAATACAGTGGCAGCAATTATAAATCCAGACATTATTGTTTCCGTCTGCAAACAGGAATAAAAAAAGGAAAGTGAACTAATAACCAACCAATACATAAGTGGAGTGAGGATGTGTAAGCTGATAAAACAGGGGGAAAGTTCAACTATTTAAACCTGAGCTGCCCCAGTTTTAGATTCATTGTTGGCTGATGTCTTTTATTTAAACCAGAGGAAAAGCTTTCTGCATCCTTATTATGAACAGAGAGTTTTCAAAGGGAGTAATAGAACAGATGAAAAGGAAAGCTATCTTTTATATTTGAGAATGTTCACAAGTCTAATTACTCCTAATAGTTATTAAAAAAAATGAGCCATTTATAGAGAGGAAATGTTATATCAGGATAATGATTGAACCTAGTGTCAGAGCAGGAGGTTATGCTTCTTTTTTTTTTAATATTTGATCCCTTTTATAGTATAAATATTTATTCATACATAGACATCACGGATGAAATCAACTGGAATTGAAAGGTAAGCTGATAATTACTGCTTTTTTTTTCTCTAACCAACCAGTGAATATGCCTTATCGTAGCACAGCTAATGAGTGACAAAGACATTTCCAGTTTGAGTGAGGAGTTTAAAAGCTGCCTTACAGAGCTGTAAGATAGCATCTAAAAGGAAGCTACATGTCTGAGCCTCATTGAAGCTGCGATAGAGTGTGAGACTTTTAGCAAATAACAGAAAGGCTTCACAAAATACAGTAAAGTTTTCTGTTTTTATCCTGTTCCTGTTCCTTTTAGGTTTCATTAGGTTTTAAAGTGCCTCCTCTTAAAATGTTGGCTCTTCTCGTGTTCTAAATACCAAACAACTGTTCACAGATAGAAGGCTAGAGAAGGACTTTTTAAACATATTTTTGTGTCATAAAAAAAGGTTGGAAACAGCTCCAAATCTGTATCCAAACGTCAAATCTCACACACATCTGAGGATTTGAGATTATAGTGAATTAACCTGTGATTACCCATCTACCGTTTATCCATCTTATTTTTTTAAAGAAGTAACTTATTGGGTTAATATTTAATAAGCAATTTATTAAGTAATAACTTAATTAATAATAATTTAAGTTATTAAATAATAAGTAATAACCCTAAAAGGTTGGAAAATAAACCTACATCTACATGACTGATTTCAATCCAGAGAGATCAAAAAACGTGCACTTTGATCATGGATCAGCCAGCAGCTTTCCCAGTGATCATAATTTATCTCTGATCACTGCACCCCCACACGACAGCGATACACCTTCCCACGCAGCCCCACCCCCACAGCTCTGTTATCTGCAGTGGGAGCTGCCTGCCATAACTCACATGTTGTCTCATCGCTAACACAAGGCTCCAGCAGTCAGTTATACTAAAATACCGCTGGGTGGATTCCTTCAAATTTCTTTAAATTTGTGTGAAATAACCTGTCATCTGAAAATATAAACCTATTCCAGTACATAAAGAGGATTGCTGTGATTTCAGATGTCTGCACATGCAGACTGTCCCTAATTTTATCCCTCACTCAGAGAACCGAATGGAGCGACAGGTGCAGAGTCCACAGCAGCTTGCTCTCCTGTCTCCAGTTCTTATAACCTTATAATAAACTACAGTCTTACAAAGTGGAAACAGCTTCACTGATCTATAGGCACTGCTTTATGAAGAACCGGAAGGAATGGGATAACTCCCCAACAACTTACCTAAAAAATAAGGGTCTGGTGAAAGGGGAAAATTTATTTATGGTTAAACTTTGCTTCTAGTTTAGTGTTGACACCCCTTTAAACAGTTTAGATGACCTGCATTACAATGAGCTTTTCCATAGCATGGTGTGGAATTACAGATTATGCTAATGTAGAATAAAAAAAAATATGTTTTATCGATTTTCTCTGGTCCCAGCGAGATGCTTTATAGTGACTAAAAATCAATTTACGCATTGATTAATTAGCCTTTCTTCTCCCTTTTATTCCATCTTTACTCGATCCAACTTTTCAAAACTCCACCTCATGACTATTTTTTTTTTCTTTATGTTTGCAAGTAAAATCCAAATAGCTTATTCATTTTTATCAACAGCACATAAAGTAGTAATAAACCTCCCCCACTGCCCTTCATTACGTCCAGCCAGGTCATACAGCAGCTGACTGATCATGTGATAAATCAAGAGCTTAATGTTAGACGTTGGGGCCGGGTATTTGAGGTGAAGAATTTAAATCGATTTTAGTGCATTTGCCAAAGCAGACTTGAGCATTTTTAGTTGCCGTTAGGTTTAAGGCATGCACCTTAATGCGATCCCAGAGCTTCTGGACTGGGTATGACGTTAGCAATGGGAGAAGTTACCTTTCAAAGATCCTTTAGCTGAAATCTGCAGCTGAAGCACCTCCTGACGCAGAGACCCTAGTGGTTTTGGGAGATGCATGGGCAAAGGGACGTGTAACATATATAGGTGGGGAACAGAAACAGTGGATGGGAGAATAAATAAAGAGGGAAATGGGGAAAATGTGGGATGGCGGTGATGGAGAGAAACATCACAAGTGAGCTTAATTTCTTAATCACTAAAGTCATCCTCTAACATATGAAGCACAGTGTCAAAAATTAATTGACCTGTTGGATCTTTGCCTTTATAACCGACTTACTTCCTTCTGTGTTATTTCTACTGGAAATCTACAGTTTGTGTGAACAGCTGAGCTCGACACCAAATCAAACCTGGGCAGGTTGTAACAGGAACATTTTATTGTCATACCTGTCAGAAACCTGTTGTTGTCGTTATTCATGACAGCAGAGGAAGACAACTTTCTGATCTTAAGGACACTTAAAACTAACTGCAGAGCCAGCAGTGCACGATTTAAGCAGGATGATGTCACTGCTGCTAAAAATAACACGCAACTCACCTTAACCCTCGACGTGTTCGTTTCTTCATGACTGAGTGGGCTATGTTATTAACATTTATAACAGAGCAATAAAAAAAATGCATTTCCTATTGGTTTAAAACCACTTTTAAGCTCATCTACATATTTTAAGGTCATTATGATTTTTAATTTAATACATTAATTTGGCACCAATTTTAAGAGTGGAAATGTTCAATTTTGTAATCAAAATAAACAGTTATAATTGATTAACACAGGACGAAAAAAAAAATTCTTATAATCCAGTTATTAGAGATCCAACTTCCGCAGACTTTAACCAGCTAGTTTAACACTTGACCAACCCTGACTAGTGACCAAATTCAAAATCTATTTTTCTCCCCAGATCAATTGGAAACCTTGGGTTGAGGCCAATGCCAACATATAATCAAAGTGTTATTAGTGATGCATAGTAAAGGCTTTTCCTGACAGTGACCGATTTCCATTAGCTGTAATGGCTTGACTTGTCCAGTTTTAGCCAATTTCTTTTAGGAATTAAAAAATATGAAAGAAAAAGATGTGCAAGATGTTGTTTTACATAACGGCAGGCAAAGATGACATGAATGCAATGTTCTTGTTTTTTGGTTTTTGACCCATTGACATCCAATCAGATCTGATAAGGATCTTTTTAAGAAGATCAAAAAAAATAAAAAGATCAAGAAGAAAGACTGCTCTGCGCATTATCATGCATTACCATCGTTGATTTTCTTCCTGCTTCTGAGCTGCAAGATGCAGGATAATAACCTTTATTGAGTATTAACAACGTTCAGGATGGATGAATGCGACCGGGATGTTCAGACATGGGTCAGATTCGAAAAGATCAGATTCATATCAGATTAAGGACCACATAGTCAAGTGGCCCGGGTCGCATTTGAAAAGAAAATCAGATCTGTGCCATTCAGACAATCAAGAAAAGATCTGATACAGGTCGCATATGGGCAAAAATAAATAAATAAAAACGGATTTGGGTCACTTCAGGCTCCACATAGCCCATTACTCCAAAAATCTAACCTTTACCTGGGTTTATTGGTAACTAAGCATCGGTTTGCACACGTTTTTGTACTAACAAATGGTTTTTGCATACTTATTTATTCAAAATTACTTTTACAGATGTGTAACACAAGCTCCTGAATATATTTGTTTATGTAAATTCTTTACCAGTTTTGGATTGCTATTTGTTTTCAATAAAAACACCTCAATTTGGAGGCAAAATTATACACTATTTCTCATATTCTATTTCATTATATTGATATTATGCCGTTTAAAATTGTCATTTTTGATGAAACACGTGGTAAATCTTATTACCAAAGGTTTTGTTTAATCACACATAAAGAAAAAATATGCTGTCTTTATATGCCTTTGTGTCATAAAATACCACAACACAACATTTATATTTCCACTTTATAGATTTGGAGCGGCACGATTTAAATAAAAGTTATTTATGAAGGAATTCACTTCAAACCATTCTGGGCTTAAGGGTCTAAAGGGATGAGGGTCCAAAAATATTACTGATAAATCACCCTTTCTAGATATTGCAAATAATAATAGATGGTAAAACAATAAAACTACTGTTGCAAGAAATTCTTAGAATAGATCCATCACTCGGTGTTGCACCAGAAACAGATCTAGGAATGTAGATTGCACAAATGACACCAACAGAGTAGCTGAAGTCAGAGGAGCAACAGGCTGCTGTCGCCACATGGACAACCCAAATGTTTCCACTACTACCTTAACTAAGCATGGCGACCCAGATAGAAAGCCTCTATTTAGATTCTGCTTCCTGATTTCTGCTGATTTCATCTGCGTATGAAGCTGGATAGGGGTTTCCATGTCCGCTACTGTTACTCACCCGGCTTACCGGAGCCACGTTTCCCTTTTTTACTCCGCGGCATGTTTAGCAGCTCCTCCGGGTCACAGCTAAGCTAGCTGAGGTAGCAGCGGAGCTCAGCCTCCTACGGTCCACTCCGCCCTTAGCCAACAGCTGTGGAAAGAGAGAGAATACAGTCTTAACTATTGCCGCTACCCAAAATCTTGTTTAATAGAGAAATGTGATTAAAAACGACATCTTTCTCACTCTTTAGGCTACACTTCGCTTAGCGTCCGTGAGGTGCTCCACAAAACACGTTTTGCAACCAACTGCCGTCTTCAATCCCGGGAAAAAAGGAGCTGTTTAGAGCGGGATATATCCTCTAACTATCGATTTTCTCTGTGTATTATCTGTGATTGTCCCCGGGTAACCTATATCTAACGCCAGGCTGAGATGGTAAATATTTCTCGAAGTGTTTTGGACGGAGTTTGGAGCACGCTGCAGTCGCCAGGTCCACCATCTTCCCCGCAGTAACTTGTAAAACCCACCGGCTACCGGGGTTGCCAGGTTGGTTCGGTTGGTCTGCTTCTTCTTCTTTTTTGTTAGATTGGCGGATAACAAACCACTTATAGGTGCATACCGCCACCTACTGTACTTGAGTGTGTAGCTCCATAGTTCCACCTGCTATATTATTTTTCAGGTTGGTTGGTCCTGGTGATCCCCCATTTCCGAGTAAGTGAACCCACACATAAGACAACAAAACATTTATTTTAAACAACTCCTCTTTATTTATATATCTTCTTAGTCCAGAAAGCATTCTTTTTATATAAATGAAAGGGTAGCTGCTTATTAAAAAACCCACTAAACAAACCATAAAAAAGATTTACAAAAAGTTATAAATACAATGATAGTTTTAAAAAATAAGAGTAAATATTAGCTAACAAATTATATATATATATATATATATATATATATATATATATATATATATATATATATATATATATATATATATATATATAAACCAATGTATACTGAGGGATGGCCAAAATTGGATAGGCACCAGAACCTCAGGGTAAATCTGCACTGTTCCAACAGGAACCAGCACAACGTCCACATTTCTAAATAAAGAAAAACTATAGTTTCCTACAGCCTTTGCTAACAACTACAGCCTTTGCTAACAACTACATATATTAAAACATCCGTCTAGATAAAAAGTATATTGGATAAAATTCTTTGAGGTTTTAGTTCTGGAGCGGACATCTTTTCCATCATCATTACTTTCCTACTTTTATCAATATCATTATACATTAAATTGATATTTACAAGAACTAATATCTACACAAATTTATAATTTAATAGAATTTTATTAAAATAGTTATTTACAGTATCTATGATTTCACTGAAGACTCTTAGATGACTTGCAGAGACACATAATTTTCTCTTTACGGCATATAACACAAAATCTAGTTCTGAAAAGAGCAGGAATTCTGTACAAATCATCTCTAATGTTGGTATATTGATGTGCACAATTAACCACAGTGTTTGTGTTGCCAAGTAATTGTTAATATATATCAAATTAAAATGTTGTGAATATTCTACTTGAGAGACAAAAATTATAGGGTGGTCAATGCTTGGTCCCCCATCTAGTTCCGCCCCTTTTGTTATGTTAAAATTTGTATGCTTTAAAATTAAGTAGTTTTGACCTCCCTTTATTTGTATAGTTCTAATTCACAACACATGTTTTCTAAATGAATTTAGTTTTGTATACACTCTGTGTATACAAAATGACAAAAGATGTCAAAATAACCTTTACAGGTAATTTGATCAGATTATAGGGGAGGAATTGATGAAAAAATAAATAAAAATTAATGATATCTCAAGAAATTCAGCAGATTGCATCGAGGAAGCTTTGCAGAATTCCCTCTTCCTAGATAAACATGCATATACAGCATTTAAATTGCAATTAAAATTGTGTTAGAAATGCCTAACATGAGGATGGCATGTTTAATGAGACACCACAGATCACTTTTATTGCCAAAATTATATCCAACTAAACCGTTTGTGTTCTAAGTCATTAGAATTACCAATACTTTGCTGTTGGCTAAATCCAAAAATAACAGGTTGAAGTTTTTTTTATTTAATTCTTTAATGTAGAAATATACATAGGATTATTTTAAGCAACTTGAAAAACTTACAGATGATTGCGAACAATGTTAACATTTTGATTAATTCTTAATAATTAAGTTGGGTTAAGGCACATCTCACACTGCTGCCTTGTGTGGAATCATGGAAAAATGAAAACACGTCAGTCAAATTGAGGACTAAATTTCAGCTCCCAGATTGTTCTGGAAAGACAACTTACTGTGCTGAGCCATAATGATCATCCATCATAATGATGATAGAAGTACAGAGATGGTAACATCTGGTTTTGTTGGTCTTTAAGTGCAGGAGGGAGTTTTATATTTCACTGAATAGAAGGGATCAAAGGCAAAAACTAATCTAAAGCATAATGCCACAAATTTAGTTAAAAAAAAAAAAACTACTCTAAAAGCATAAAGTCAGTGTTTTGTGATCGACATCAGAAAACCCTGATTCTCTTACTAATTTTTACCGGTGTTGTGCCATATGTAATGATCATGGTTTTTTGACATTGAGAAACAGTGTTCATATTTCCTCTTGACATGATGACCAAAGAAGAGGATGCAATTTTGGCAAGCAGCTGTAAGACTTCTGCCTGAGAGCCCACCGTCATGGACATCCAGGCCCAAAAGGGCCCAGATCTCCAGAATGATCAAATCATGATGATGACTTTTCAGAACCAAACTGCTGCAAAACAGACTTTTTGCAACACATTTCTCTTGAGTTTCAGAACTTAAAGAGCCAGACTGGATGAGAAAGCCTAATAAGGATCCCTTGGTGTGAGCCACATGGACAAAGAAAACCTCTGGTTGCCATGAGCCTGCCTGCCTGCTGGATGGATGGAAACTCAAGCCTTCCAATGGAAATGGAGAAAAGGTTTCCAGGTCTGGCACAATTAAGGACAGAAAAAACAATATGTCTTTTAATGATTTTGATCATTTCATGTGTTTACTGATGGATACAGACAAGGCTAACAGGATGGACTGCATTCTATGCTATGCTACAGTAATATGTTTTGAGCTGTTGTTGAAGCTTGGAGCTTAAAGTATCAGAAAATATAAATTCCCAGCTGGCTGGGAATTGAATATAACAGTTATCCATGACATTAACATGGCATCCAACATGGATGGGCATTGAATATAAATTCGCACCACACTATTGTGCCCTTCAACTTAAAGGATTGAGTTAAGTCAAACAGTTAAAAGGCTTTTTACCAATTATGGAGGAAATGTATCCAAACTTAAGAAATTTGCAGAAAACAATGAAATCCTATTAAAAAATGTTTGTTCTCTGGCATTGAGGGGACAGGACTCATTTTGGTCATTCTAACTGAAGAAAAACAGGAAAAGGTGAATTTGATCTCATCTCAAATCATGAATATTTTTTTAACTAACACTGACGCAACGTCTCAATCATGCTGTTGGGCCGGACCACACCAGACATCCGTAGCTATAAAGGGATGATTTAGATCAAAGTGCTTAATGTGTTCAAATGGCCAGAAACTAAAGGAAGAAAATTGGTTCAGGGCTTGAATGTGTTCACAGATGCTCTCCATCCATTCTTTCACAGAGAGAATGTACAGTATAAAAGGGTTGTTCTCTCTTTAATTAAAAAAAAAATGACAGAGATATAATTCAATTTTTTGGTAGGTTTATTAGCAAAGGTGTTAGACAAAGTACAACAAAGTATTGGCTCAGAGATGCTCATTGCAAATACAGCATATTTCACTTTGATTTGTAAAAATAAAAACAGTAAATTCATGAATCATTGGTCTTCAACCTTATTATTTAGTTCTATGCAGTGTTGGTTTGTCAAGTTAACCCCCAGTACAATACACTGGAGTTTGTTGTTGTGATCTGACTAAATGTTAAAAAGTTAAAGTGGTTTTAATTATTTTTCCAGGCACTGTAAAAAGAACATTTACAAAAATATGTATTGAGGAAAACATTGGAAAAGATATCTATGTTTCAGATTAGTGAAACATTTTCTGAACTAGCTGGTCTTGTTTTCACCCAAATTATTATTTCAGATGCAAATGGAAAAGCAAACTATTTTCCTCAAAAGATACTCTCCTCCAAAGTTCAACTTTAACTATACATGAAAGCCCAAGTTTCTCACATCGTAGCACAGCTTCAAGGTATTAGTCAGTAGTACATCTAGTTACTAAGAAGCTCCAATTAAATACTTAATTGCTTCTTTAAAGGAACAATATTATACTGAACATCTCTATAGATTAGACAACTATTGTACCATCAATCTTCTCTATTCTAATTAAAACTTTTTTTTTTAACAAAAAATAAAATAAAAAATTCAGCATGTAAACTATTTATTGTACCGTTTTCAATACTGTAAGACTTTTATATTTAAATTTTTTAATTGAATCAATGCTATCCAACAAATTAAACCACATTGTCATAAAAGAAAAAAACATTAACTTTTTTTGAAAATGGTAAGAATAATGATTTTAGAAGACAAAAACATTTGCATATATGTAATGTGTTAGTTTTTATTATAGTGAGCTTAAAAGGCTCTGTCAACTTGTATCAACATTTCTCCTTTTTTATATCATACCTTTATATTTCATCCAATGTATATTAGTGTTTTCCTTAATTGTTAAGCATATAAATTAAATAGTTTGAAGGTCAATACAAGGCTAAAATATAAATCAAAATGACTGCATTTTGATTTATATTGATTTGATTTATTTGGAAGATGCACATTAACTATCGTCACTGCTAGTTTGCTAAAATGATCCAAAAGGTTATTTTTTTAATCCAGTGTCCTTGGAAACATAGAGAATTTTGTCTCTCTTAAATTTAAATAAATGTAGTTCTGATCCATTAGAGCTGCTCAGTGTTATAACATGAAATACTTATTATTATCTTTGGAGAGTAAATCATTCAATAATTCAACCTCCAGCTGGCAGGTGTTATTTACTGGAGTTATGTATTTATATTTCCTTCCTGTATATTATAGAAAGTTATCTAAGCTGTTTTTGATGTTAAACTTATCACTATAAAACGACCCACAAAAGATGGCACCATTTGTACCAAAACAAAATAAAATAAAAAACTTTTTAAATGGCAGAAAGCAAAAATACTAGCATCTAACTTGCTGGTTTGATTCAATGAAAGTTTAGTGTAATTTCTATTGTCTTAACTTGGGAGAATAAAATGTTAACTTTATTCCCACATATTAAACCATGTTATCAATCTATAGATTGATTCAAGCCATGATGCTCACTGTTCCGTAGAAAACTCTATACAGTCTCTTCTTCACAGCTTCTGTAATCCATTGTTATCAGTGACCACAGTAGAACACTGACCACAGATACAGCGGCAAGATGAAATGGTCTGTTTAAATCCTAAATTTGCCTTGCATTGCAGGAGTTTAACACCAGAAGGTAACAGCAGTGCTTAAGGTACAAAGACAGAAAGACCCAGTGTGTTCCTCCCTATCCTGAGTAGTAGTTTGTGGGAACAAAGGGCATCTTGGTGACTGTTGCTGGGACTGTTTTCTTCCTGATTTCAACCTGGATGGCGGTTCCGTTCTTAGCGAATGCTGCATCTACGTAACCCATGGCGATGTTCTTTCTTAGGCAGGGGGAGGGACAGCCGCTGGTCACTTCCCCTGTATAGCATGAGAAAAGAGAAAGTGGAAATAGATCAAATTCTATGTTAATATAACTCTGGCGCTTAAGAAAATCTTCCTGCAATGGAGCAACATATGAAATTCTGGCTGTGCTTCAAATTATGAATTACTGCTCATTTACTGAGGAGGAATTTCTTTATAAAGAGACCAGTTTTAAACTGATAATTACCTAATACATTTCTTATAATTAAAAAAATATATATTTTATGTCCGATTTAAAATCAAGAAAAGACATTTTATGATGAATTAAAATGTGTTTATGCAAGGATTCTGGCGACCTCTAGTGGTCATAGTATTTAAAACATCTATCTATCTATATTCGTGTATTACTTTAAACAGTAATTCAATCATTTCAGAAACATAAAAATTTTTCAAAAGATATATGGAATCGAAGTTCTTTGATGATTCTCTCCACATGATTCTCTTTTTAATTTAAAATTCAGGAGTGCAAAAGCACATAGCTCCCTATTCCAGGAACCCCTTTAACTCTCTCACCTATGACCTGTCCTGCAGGGCTCAGGATGGGGGTGTGCTGTCTCACTGGGGGTCCAGTGGACACCAGTCCAACTCGTCTCCTGGCTGTCTTAGCCTTGATTTGTGGTATAATGATATCGGCACCGGGGAAATCCTTTGTCTGACGTCTGCGCTTTCCTGTGAGACAACAGGAAAAGCAATGGAGCCATTTAACGATGTTTTATCAATCAGGTTTATGCTAGTGAAAATATGCATGATCAGTTGAGGAAAGAGTTATCTGCCTCACTAAAGCTGCAGTGACAGATACATGCCTACATAGATCTATTTATAGACTGATATGAGAAATAAAACCAGACCTATCGTCCAAACAAGACTGGCTTCCACAGGTGTGGTGGTCTCATCGATGTCATTGCCATAAAGACAAAGTCCCGCTTCCAGACGAAGACTGTCTCTGGCTCCCAGACCGGCCAGCTTCACCTCACTGTTGCTGAGCAGCTTCTCTGCTAGTTCAACCACTTTTGAACGAGGAACAGAAATCTGGGAAACACAGACAGAGGAGTAACTTTAAAGGCCAGCGACCAAAGATTTTTATCAAAGCAATAAAGGGGCTAAAATCATCCTTTTCTCACGCATACCCTGAAATTTATGGGAAATACAGGATAGAGCAGAAGATGAAGCTGGTCAAATTAGACCCTCATTATATATTTTGGTCCTCTCTGTTCTTTGAGGGGCTTCTAAACAATTTCTCAAGAAGTGCAAAAATATTCTTTCAGGATTATTTCAGGTCATGCAAAATCATTTGCATTTTTGTTTTGTTTAAATATGCTTATAATTGCTGCTTGTGCAATATTTAACTATTTAATGTGAGAAAACAGGATCCCACAGTAAACATAAAAATGGCTTTGCATGTTTGCATTTATGCAGGTATCTGTGTTGTTGTTTTTCTTTTTCTAGTCTAGAAAAATAATCTAGATTGTTTTCAACAAAAATAGTGGATTAAAGTCCATCCATAAACACTGCTGCATTCAGTTAATGGTTTATAACATGAACATCAATGCAACATCAATGGCTGTTTGTGAATTTGCTTCCTGTGAAGTAAAAATGAAAGCAAAAAAAAAAATGTATACATGTATAAATATATATATATATTAGTGCTGTCAAAATTATCGCGTTATTAACGCGTTAACGCGAGGCCATTTTAATTGCGATAATTTTTTTAACGTGAGATTAACGCTATGTGGTTTTATGGTACAATTTTCCAAGTACATCCCGCTGCAGCCTGCGGGAAGGCGGGGCTATT